CGAAAATTCAGGAGAACACCTCGATATCAAGTTAACCACAATTATACTATTCGATAGGGCATATGAAATTCTACGAGGAACAAGAGTGTGCGTGTTGGAACATTACCTCAAAAGAATACGGGCAGGTTTCACTCAAATGCGATGCTAACTTCACCAACGTGTGAAAAGCACAATTTTTTCTATGAAGAGTAACAATCTTATATTCCTTCAATACGTATCGTGTTTCAAATCAGAAATCAATACAATCAATTCCAAGAAGAGAAAATTGAATAGATTTTAATGAAAGAAAAATCCTATTAGTACCCAGGACAATCATTCCGATCGTCTGAACGAGTATCATAAAAGGTCTGAAACGACTAACGTGCGGTGCAAAAGTAATTGCCGAAATCTTCAATCAGAGTTCTCAGTCTATGAACATCATACAGAGCCAATCTTTTTTTTATCGAATAGAGCGTCATCTAGAGACTTGAATGATATGTGATTTGTAAATTTACTATCATTTTATACTCGATGACACGTAAAGAAAGAGAAGCACTAGCGAAACGTGTTTGCAATTTCTACGAAGATGCAGCAAGTAGAAGCGTAAAAACAACTGTTAGTTTCTTCAAAAAGCAAAACATACCAGAGAGAACTATTCGATATATATTAAAGAAGTATCTGGTATATGGAACAACTCATTTTTTACCAAGAAATGGTCGTCCACATAAACTATCAGACAAAAAAGTGGATGCTATAGTGAAAAGTATCAACAATAAAACAGGTGTCAGTCAATGTGAAATCGCGAGACATTACAAAGTTCATCATTCAACAATATGTCGTACGTTAAAAAGAAGAACATCAGTAATTATCAGAAAACGTAAAAAGGCGCCAAAGATGAACAATTATGATCAAGAAAAAAGGGCTCAAGTTAATTGTGGTAAATTGTACAGACTGATTTTGAATGGTTGTGACATCATAATGGATGACGAAAAATATTTTGGTTTAAGTGGTGATAATGTGCAATATAATCAACGTTACTATACAACTAATCCATTGACAACTCCAACTGATGTGAAATACAAAAAGAAGAAGAAATACTCACCGAAACTTTTGGTTTGGATGGCAATATCATCAAAGGGTGTGCCTAATATTTATGTGCATAAAAGCGTACAAGCGATAGGCGAAAAAATTTATTTAAATGAATGTATCAATAAAAGGTTGTTACCGTTTATTGAAAAACATCATAAGAATGATAATTATGTCTTTTGGCCCGATAAAGCAAGTGCACACTATGCTACTTCTGTACTCAATCGTTTGAAAGAAAAAAATGTACCAATTGTACATAAATTGGATAATCCACCAAATGTTCCACAAGCACGTCCAATTGAAACAGTTTGGAGTCTTTTGGAACAGAAAGTATATGAACACAATTGGCAAGCAAAACGTATCGATTCATTAGCTCGTCGAATACGAAAAAAATCTAAAGAACTCGAACAAAATACGTTGCAAACTATGATCGGACATGTTCGAAAGAAGTTACGCTCTATGTGGCGAAATGGTTTATATTCCATTTTTTGATATTGTTCATTGTACACCAAAAGATGCTTTTTCTAATGAAAATGAAATTATATTTCTATGATGTTCCTAGACTGAGAATTCTGATTGAAGATTTCGGCAATTACTTTTGCACTGCACGTTATAAAACGGTATAATAAGGCATTAATTTTCACCTTATTTCACCGTAATCCGTCAGTTCGTTTTACGGACCGTTTTCTTGGACATGGACAGTCGTCAGAGATAGCAGAAAAAAAGAGACGGCGACAACAAAAAAAAACGAAAGAAAGAAAAAAAAGATTAGAGAAAAGCCACAATCCAGAACATTGCATACCTTGTAGTTTTCGTAAATAGTCAATTATATCATAAAATATTCATCCATGTTGACTCCTTTTTCACTAAGAAAGTTATATTACTAAATATTTAGAAAAAAGACGATCACTTGACGCAGTAGAAACGCAATTGCAAATTAAATAGGTATTGATTCTAAAAAAAACAAGTAAAAAGCTTTTAAAAAATGAGCTACTAGGTAAAGCGAGCGTTTATAGTCGATCTTAACCATGCTCACTTGAAAAGATATATCTAGTTACTCATTCGTTTACATCTTAATTGGTAAAAAATCTGTGTAATCAGATAAATAAATTACTGTAACCCTAACCGTATAATGCATTGACACATTATTTTGTGATCGAGTTATATGAAAAAACACCTAATGGACCCTTATTTTTCTTCAAATGAGATGCATAGAGGGGCATATTAAAATGTATTTAGTTCAAAATTGAATGTCGACATTGAAAACAATTTTCTGAAAATCACTAGTTTTAATCAGACTTCGTACTGTGGATCATTGCAAAAAATCTTATCGCGACGAATTCTCTTTCAATTTCATCAAATTAAAGATTGTTAGCTACTTGCGTTCTCTATCTATTGAGTTTTATCATCAAATAGCTTTCGAAATAAAACCTTTTGCAGATACAAAATAGTTTTATAATTTATAAAAACTAAATCTTTTTCTGACGGTGGCGTGAAAACATGAAAGTGCTTTTTTGCATTTATATTCGAAGTCGAATTAGAGCCGTAAACAGCAGTGTGTGAGCAGTAGTAGGGCAGTTGAGTTGAGTTCAAAACAAGTCAAGTTAGAAGAAAGTTGTGCTTTGTAATACGTACGATTGTATTCGGTTGTATTGAAAGACAACACACAGAACTCATTTTAGAGAAGAATAAACTTATTGTGTGGAATTGCTGTTAATATTATACACACAGTGACTAATATATATAGCTGATCAAGGAGGAACAAACTGATTTCGTGTGATTTCAGAGATTGAAATCAGTTTGTTCCCCTTTGATATTGTGCGTAACCTTCATTCTGATCTTATCATTTTTCTAGCGAACATCGAGGAGCCTCTGTACCGAACCACGTCCATGTATCACATACGTAAACTGGGAATATATGAAATTCTTGCAAATAAAGTAGCAGCATTACCTATACAAAATTAACGGCCACATGAATTCAGATGAAATGAACTAGCTTTGTAACAGCCAGAATTCAATATGAAAAATCTGAAAGATGATCGATCTTGTCTATACATGTACGTCACAAAATTCGCCATCTCTCACCAGAACCCTGTTCTCTAGAATATCTCTCTTTCGTTTCAGAAGTTCTGTAACCGATACTGTTTATGTTTGTTGAGTTTTCAAGGGTTCTTATGCATCTTTATTGATTACAGCAGATCTTGATCAGCTTCAGAGCTCTTTTACTTTTTGCAAAATAGCTTAATGAGAACTACACTGAGAAAGTTTAATGCTCACATTAATTCGATGGCATTTTTTTAAAATATCAAAGTCTCAACCTTTGAAACTTTTCTATTAAAAGAACACGAAGTAGCACCAGTCATAATGAAAAAAACATAAATAGCTGTATTCCATACTCAGCGACTAAAATGAGTATTTTCGTCAAGGAAAGGCAACGAAAGTATTTTTTATAGACAGTACCCCGTTGAACTATCATAAAAGTTAATTTTAATATATGAATGAAAAATGTGATAGCTTTTGTCTGTTTCAAGATTTTACTACAATTTTTGATACTTTGTGAATCCCTGAAATTCTCTAAGAACATATTTTGAATGAACACTATCACCATTTTAAGAATCTCATCGATTTACTTGTTATCACAGATTATCATAATATTGATATGTACCGATCAATCGTAATTCGTTCTGATTCAGCTTTTTGGATCCCGACAGATCCCGTGATCCGCTTTTCCCCCTTGGTTCGATGACGAATCGGGACTAACTTGAATAAAGTCGATAAAATCAAATTGAATGTGCTTTATATTATGTGAATAAACGACATATGTTAGTAACTTTGACGTAGACGAGAACAGACAAAAAAACGGAGCTAATACTAAACACCGTTAAAAAGATTCCATAAATACTTAAGTGTTAAAGACACGATTTAGATCATACTGTTCGGAAATGTTTCTTAATATTCTTACAGTTCATGAGAAATGAAAATCGTGACAAGAAAAACATGTTTTTGCTCTGCTTATCAGATTTTATAACGGATAAGGATTATGAATGTTTCTGGCAAAAATCTCTGATTTCGTTTAAAAATCAAAATTGAACAGAACACGAAAATTTTGCATTGATTATATACATGTGCATGAGATCTGTCATGAATAATTAATCATGACTCTGTTATTTTATCATCCAACTCGATTCTAATAGGGGATTAGGCAGGCAGCGTGGCCGAGCGGTCTAAGGCGCCGGTTTAAGGCACCGGTCCGAAAGGGCGTGAGTTCGAATCTCACCGCTGTCACTGTTTTTTTCCATATCTGTGGATCTGCGAATTAAGAAAATCGGTATTTGACTATATTTGGAAAGGTTTTTGTTTATTTTCTCAATTGTCATTACATTTAATGCTACTATGAATTTATTCAAAGGTAAAAAGAGTAAGACAAAAATTCAAAGCTGTTAGTATTTCAAGCTAAGCCACAGTTGTTGTTCCGTATAGCCAGATAAATAATTGTTCTTGGATTAAGATAGAGTTTGTAGTGCTTTGCTGATTTTTACAACTCTATCGAATAATGTATAAATCGACAATTAAATTGGCATGTCAAGTTCGAGTTGACAGTTCTTGCATTTCTATTCGATAGAAACAAGGTTTTATTGGTAGGATAGAATATTTTGAAATCAATGAAAGCACCGTTCAAATACATGTGCTTGCTAGAGTTACTTTATAGAAATATCAGCATTGACCCGATAATATCTCAGACAAAACTGAGATCGGCCATTAGTTCCCTCATGGGTAAAAGTCAATGTGAATTATTTTCAAAAACTGAATCATTCAGAAAATTGTTGGGGAATTGAGAAAGAATACCCATTTCTCAGTCTCTGAATACTTCTCGCTTTCTATTTTGAATATCAAGAAATCATAGTAGAGAATGTGTTAGATAAAAAGTAATATGTAATCTAAATTAAAATTTACAAAACGAAATTCTAAATCAATGTTTAGATAATATTTGAGAAAAACTAAAAGTGCCATTAGTTTCTCCAAAATCAGCGACAGATATTGATAAACAAATAGACGACAGAACAAATTTCAAGCTCCCTCATTGTGCTAGAAAGGGTGAATCCATAACAAAAACTTTCAGATAACTAATGGAAGAAACATTTCCAAACACAAAATGGTGTTAAATTATACAGCAGGAATCTTTTCTATCCAGAACAAAATCAAGCAAATTGTTTTATCAGTCTATCAATCATAGACTGAATAAGCGAGCACAATCAATAGAAATCCATACTGTCATCGTAAAAATGATCCAGCAAATATAATAATTTCATTTAACTTAGTTGGATCATTTTTTTTTCAAATTGCTGCTTTTCCCTTTCTATTTATGTCTAGCAGAATTGGTTCGGCAGAAAATTTTTTTCTACATAATGACTACTTTCTGCTGTAGGTTTTGGTTGAGTACAAGTTCAAACAAAATCACCTTGCTTTTCACTCCTACCGGATGTTTTCAATCAAAAGGTAACAAAAGACTTGCTTTTTTCATGACGTTTAACCAATTGTTCGGTTGAAGATCTCATTGAAACATTGTATTTGAATAGAAATCCTATTTTCGATAATGACTCCGACATATCATAGATGCAAACTTTGAATTTTTCAAAAACAAACACACGCCAGTTCAGTTACTTGGAGTTTCCTTAACTTATAAATACCAAGAATGAAATTTTTACTATAGTTTCATCAACAGAATCTGTATGTATCCTAGCGAAATAACGATCTATGTTTTAGGTTTGATTTTGAGTACCCATAAAATTTGATTTGATCTATATAAAGTCTAACAATCTAATATATATGCAATCATAAAATCAATTTTGATTTACAATAGAACATATTGCATAGAAAAAGATTAGGCACAAATCCATACTGGCATGCATAATACACAAGAAAAAACTCAATAAAATTTTCCAATATGAAATATATACGCATTCAAATAAAGTATATCGTAGAATGACTTCAGGATTTCACTGGTGATACATAAAAATATTAAATGGGCTAAATATCATGCAAAAAATAATATTTTTCGTCGCCGTTTCGTTGGAAATACCCATTACGAGTAAAAAGCAAGATACTGCTTTTGAACTCGCAGCTATACTGCAAAAAAAAAGGGTTTATGAAAGTGCAACGTGACACATACCCATTTTCCTGTCTTTAAAATATCTGAAAAACCATTTTTCCAAATCATAAACCTAAAAACTGTTTATTATTCTGCGGATTTTTTTTACAGTGTACTCAAACAACACCCACAGTAGAATTTAGCTATCATGTAGAACACATTTCTTTCTATTGAATCAGCAAGAATAAAAAACAGTGAACAAGTGGGAACTTGAAAAAAGCACGTAAAATGGATTTAGAAAAATCAAGGACTCTATCTATGGATTGGCATCTGTCGAAAAATAAATCATTCTACATGAAGGCTTACGCGTTGCCAAACGTAAAACTAAAGACTTATTAGCAGAGATCAAACGACTAGAGTGAAACAGAAAAATGAAGAAATGAACGTACAGAATAGGCGAACTTGCATGATGGGAGGAGATAACATTGAACAATAATTACTGTATAATACGATATGATGAATGATATGACGTAAAGGCTATCCTAGTGAAATTAATCCTTAAGAGAGTACTCAAAAAGTACTCACGCTTGAAAATGCCACGAGTGTTCGTGGGTTCTGAGTACTAGGTATATTTTTTTCATTATTATTTCACTATATTCATTGTATTGTATTAAACATTTTCCATTGAGCTATAAGCATTCATAATGAAATTTTGAGAAATGATGATGTTAATTTATATTTTTATAGTTTATAAAAAAAAGTGCAGACAACGACCTCTTACTTTTAGGAAAAAAAACTATTGAATAGATAAACACATGTCTAACCACAAGTGAGTGTTTAATTAGTCTCGAAGTTGAGGCATGAGATAATAAATAAACTTATATTGAACGTCATTACGAAAAATAAATAAAATAACATTAGCAATTCTTCACTCATCTTCTTTGGTAATAAGTACAAAAATCAATAAAAGAATTAATTTAGTGTTTTTCGAATACAAATATGCTTACACTATATTGAAATCTAATTTATTTATATCAAGCGTGGCTGTTGATCAATCTTTTCATCTATTTTTGTATCAATAAAACTATTCGTTCACGAATTTGAAAGAATATTTCATCTCTAGCGTAGGAATTCAATTTGAACGAATAATTTTTTGTTTAACTACATCTACATATTTTATTTTACTAGAAAAAAGAACGACTAAAAATGAAAAGTCATTTTTTTGCTTGTTAAACAGCCATTTATTAAAGCGATGAAGGTGGCTCATTCGTTAAAAACGAAGAATCAAAGAGGTGAGTCGTCAGAATAGTTATTGCCAACTTTTCATTTAATTTCGTCATTTTGCTTAGGTATAAAACTGTATTTTATTTTATAGATAACAGCATACTCGTGTTTTATTGCATATTCTGCTAGAAATGAGGATAGGCACTGTGCCGATATTGATGGCACGCTTCGATAATTCTCCTTTCTCCTCCTTCTGTTCTCTGTCCTGTCTCTCGCCTATACATACGTGTGCTATACATGAAGTTGTTACACTCTGGATATGTGAAGAAGCAAATAAACATCATTGTCTAGAGTGACTGTAAGCTACGCCACCCCTATCCAGCTTGTCTTAATACATCAATTAGCAAGGGCCATATTTATCGTTACAGGTACCACCTTTAGGAGATCAAAATGCATTTTTCGATAATCGTTTATGTGATCTAAAAACAAAATGCGAAGGGAACAATATTCTCATGTGTAAATATAGAAATTTTTAAATGCATAAAAATATTTACACAGCAACAAACTTTTAGCACATGTTTAATACTTAAGATAAACTTTATATTGTTCAATAATAACTAAAAAGTAATTTATACGTTTCCGAATGTAGATCGAAACGGCTTAAATTTTGAAATCAAGCACTTATAATATTCATATCAATATAATGATTCATAACTAATTAAGAATATTTCGCTTTGTTTCAACTTCCAGACATCAATCACATAAAAAAGAATGTTAAAAGTTCAAAAAACGATTTCATGACTATTTCGACGTAGATAGTCTTACTCGAGTGTTCAGATAATGATACTAATTAATTATTTCAAATAATTGATGTGCGGAACGGAAATTCTATATCGGATATTTGTGTATGTTTTAAATAACAGGATGAGTTGTTTGAGATGAACACGTCATCACTCTTTGAGAAATGTGTTTTTTAATAATATTATCAGGTGATCATTTCTGATAGGTGTTTCAGATCATAACTTGTAGCTACTTTTGTAAAGAGTTACAGTTAATGATCTGAAAGCACTATTTGAAAAGGATATTTTACTGAAAACGGCATTGTATCATTTGAAAATATAACAGCTGTTTTTCAAAACACATTCATTTTATTGGATTAGAGTTTTTGTTTTACAAATGACTTAATCAGAATTAATGAATATTATGGTTCGATAAAAATTCGAAAATTTAAAGGTCTATGAGATGACATGAGCTAATATCGACTGTCTTGTTTGAAATATACAGAATATTTATTGAGTTCTGATAAATATAATAGGATAATCTTCTCAACATTTGAAAATATTAGAGAATCTGTCGAAGAGTGCGCTTAAATCTGGTCCTTTTTCAAGACACTGTAAGAATTCTGAAAGAGTAGAACTATTTACCTTTGTCCATGATAAAAAATAAACATTTGTTTTTCATCGAAAGAAAATCAGTATTCTGAGAAAGCCCGTATAATGAATAGAGTTTAAAAAACACTTCTCACTTGCTTAATTGCGTGGATAAATATGATTCTTCTATAAGAAAATAACTGAATATAATAACTCTATTTTTTCAGCAAGAAGATATACTTCATGATGATTATGACGATTAAATATAGATAATAAGTGGTGGTAGATATTAGCGAAAAAAAACGATATAGTATTTTCAATTTATGTGATACTGAACTTTTTTTCGGTATCATTGACTTATTGATTGCTGTATTCGTTTTGCATATTTTTGTTTTTTAACGAATTAGTTGCATAGATAGTTTTCTACATTTTGAAGTTATGTTGCATTCTTCAGTGACATTCTTTCTGTAACTTTCCAATTGTTATCTTCTTGGTTTCTAACGAAATAGTTCTTCTAAATAAGTCAAATAAATACAGAATTATAATGACTATGATACAACACTGAACACTCGTGTAATTTTTGCAAAAGATCTATGTCAATGCTTTTGAGTGTGTTGTTAGAATATGAACTAACGTATTATATAGTTATAAAGTAGAGCAAAGAAAAAGAATGTAGATATTTATTTATATAAGTAAAGACTCAATTATGGTTTGATGAACATGTGAACTAGTTATTTTTCAAGAAAACGGACAGAAAAAATACATGAAAGGAGTTGCATAAGTGAACTATATCAGAAAATTTGATTGAGAGGATGAAAAAAGAATAATTATATTTAAGAAAAAGCCACACATAGAAGAAGATCGATGTTAGATGTAAAGGTACAGGCTTCAGACAATCATCTGAATATCTGCATAAAATTTGAACTATAGAAATCTTTTTCAAAACACTGCAAAACGGTTTTGCATAAAGATCGAAAAATTTTCATTTATGTTTTTATTTTAACATTTTCTGCTATAGAATTCAGCCTGTAAGTAAATGCTTGCATTCGGATATTTTTCCGGAAAAAAGAATGTGTGCACATTCGGGAGATTCTCATATGCGATGATAGAGCCGTATTGTTTGAAAAAGACGTGATTTTCGGTATTTTATCGGAAGTATAGTAGAATTATTTTAAAGAATATGCAGTATGTTTATCCCAAAAATAAAATGATCTTTCTACTATCTATTTGTCTCATTCAATCGTCAAATAGATCAAAGTATTTATGTTACTGTTCGATGATTTAGTTGATTCAACTTTGTCAATCGTAAAGTGCCGTCCTGCTCGAATCAATACTTCATCTTCGTGTGGATATGTAGATAAATTAGCGACTGCTCGTGCAGCATCAGAAGCTGTATCTCGAATATCAATGATAAACAAGACTGTAGATCGAGGAAACGATTCTGCTATTTGCTGTTGTCGACTTGTCGACGTTAATCCAAGCCATGAACGGACACTTCCTATGGCTTGTTTATATTCATTCACCATAGCAGGTGTGAGCTCAGCGCTGCGATAGACACGACCCGTATAGCACAGATTTTGTAATTCAGGGGCGAAATTAAATTGAAAGAGTAAATAACACAGAGGACCAAGAGTATCAATCTTAGACAAATTATTATCACGTAGAGTGGTATTAAGAACACGATATACAAAACCTTCCATGGTGTAGAGACGTATGCATGCTTGGCAAATATTTTCGAATGATTCCTTGGTAACAGGCATAAAATGATCAACAATCCATTGAGCTTGTTTTTCAAGACCTATTTCTCTACCTTCTTGTCGAATTCCTTCAAGCGCTTGGCGCATGATATCACCGTATGGAAGTGACTCAAGATTAGGACATCTAAAAAAAGATACATTGTACAAGTTGCAAACATTATGATTATCTCAACAAACTTCATCTGCCATTCGAAAACGAACTGTGATCCATTCCAGTTAGCGGCACCCAACGGCGAATTTGCGTTTGTATTCTGCTCCATTTTCGGTGCTGAACAAAAACGATCATTTCTTTGTCTACGATTTCTGAAAGCTTCGGCGTCGTCACAATCGGGTGATAATCGTCTGATTTCTGCTGCTTTTTCATTTTTCTTCTTATTAGCATTATTAATGTGTAAGCCTTGTTTTAAATCAACTACTACATTGTCTTCTAGCTCTACACGGTTTCCATATCTATTGTATACATCTTCGATAATTGCAGTTTCAATATCGGAATAATTTTGCCATTCATTGCTCGGAGACTGTCTCCATTGCCACATTGCTATCGTAAAAATCACAGTTGGTTTTTCTTTTATTTCTACAAAATATGAGAAAAAATTAAAGTCAATCAGAGTTTATCTAGCACATAGAGTAAATGTGTTGACTTTAGTCCTAATGAAAACAATCTGAAAAAATTTGAATGTTACTTATCATTTGTATTGTGACCCAGTGATATAGTTATTTTGGTCAAGATCCATCCGACTTACGAAAATGGGAGAAAGATGAATCTGAGAACTTGAGTAAATTTAGATTTTGATCCTCAAAAAATGCAATTAGAATGGAAATTGGCGTTTCAGCACTCTTCTGAACTTGAAACATACGAAATGACAACTCACTGTTCTCCAGCATGTAAGTGTTGTTTTGACCAAAATAATAAACATGTTGGCCAAGTCTCACTCTTCACACAATATAAAAGAATCAAATGTACGAGTTACTTGGAATAAATTTAAGTGCTGTGTAAAAAAATAGAACACATTCTGAGTAGTTCATATGGTAAATGCATTTCTCTCTATTGGACTGCAACAGAGCTGTTGCATTTTTATTTTGTTACTAACCGACGTGAAACTACGCTTTTACGCTTTTATTTCTTTTTCTTTTATCCATTAATTTTTACATATTTTATTTTATTCCCTTATTTTCTCCGTTCATAAAATAATGTTCCTCGTGTTCTCCCGTTGTTTACAGAGTTGACAAAGATGCAATGTCAAATGTTTGTAGAAAAAGAAAAGAAATATTTTTATTATGAGCCCATATTGTGCGTCCATTTCGATTACCCTGAATTTAAAAAACATTTATCATATTTGAGGGTGTGGGCGCTAAATTCCTTAATTGAATGTCATCGAAACAAAAAATGGAATAGTTTAAACATTAAATTGAAATGGCATAATTTATCTTTTTTGGACTTATAGTTGGCTATGTATAAGAAATAGCTTTAGTTCTCAAAATGAAGAGCCATCTAAAATTTAGCTATTGGCTCACAGATTTTCTTTTAATCCGGTTTATAATGAACTCATACCATCCGCGGTAGTATAGTGGTTAGTATCCCCGCCTGTCACGCGGGAAACCGGGGTTCGATTCCCCGCCGCGGAGTTCTATTTTTTGTTTTACTCATGAATTTTAAAACATATTTACTTTTCGATGTGAAATATTTATATTAAACTTAATGAGATGTTACTCGACTGATGTACAGCAGCGTGGCGCAGTGGAAGCGTGCTGGGCTCATAACTCAGAGGTCGGTAGATCGAAACTACTCGCTGCTACCTATAAATTTTTTTTTCTGTTCTTGATGAAATAACTTATGCCAGGCAATTTAATTGCAACATTCATTTTTTTAATATCGAAGTTATGCTCAAATTTTTCGGTAGATTTAATGATTTCATAGAAATAGTATAACATGACTTATCCGGCGGAAGGATAAAAGTGTAGTTAAAAATAACTGAAAGCAATATAGTGGTATAAAATTCGAATAAATCTATAAAAAAATTCAGCATAAAACTCTCTGAGCGTTGTTTCACAAAGAAAACCTACGAGACATAGTAGGAAATGAGAGTTGGAAACGATAAAATCTTTCTTTGATTGTTAATGAAAAGAAGAGAACGACCATTTTTGTTTTCAATCCAAAACATGATCTTAACTGAGTACTAAAGCATATATCGAATCGAATTTCGAACATTTCTACGCAGATCATGACGTCTTATTTCCAGAAAGCATTGTTGTTGAGTTTCACATATTTATCCAGCATGAATTGTAGCAACAGTTTTCTCTGACGCAGCAACGATCCACTTTTACATTATAAGATAATTTGTATATATTCCGAAACTGAGTTCAGAAGTAACGTAAGTGTTTAAAACGAGTTATATTATCGATTGTATGAAAAACAACTGATTTTCTAAGAGGGAATTAAGCATTGGGAACAAGTCTTGCTTTATTGAATTGATTTTGTTATTATTAAAAAATATAATATCTAGACTGTACGAAGTTAGCAAACATGCTTGTCATCTCTCTGCTCAACGTGTTATTTTTATGAATTTGTCAATCTATAACGTTTTTTATCTATGAAACTTAAGATTCTTGTCTGAACGATTTTTCGTGAAATTCCTATTCTAATGAGGGTGATTTCCATTTTACCTCTTTATTTCTGCACAGGTACATTAAGATAAGAACATGTCTGATGTTTGTTCACTGAATATCTTTGTTTGCAGGAAGCACTACTGCTTGGTACGGTTATATAGATACATGCTTTTTTTATTGGTTTCATTTTGAAAATTATTGAATCAAATGAAACATGGAAAAGTTTTTATTATTGGCGTTAGATCGTGCAAGAGTCTTATTTTCAACATTCTTCGTTGAATTCGAAAGATTAAAATTGTTTTGATTTAAGAGTCTTAATGATGCCATTACAACTCATTTGTTATTTTTTTCATAAGGTATTATGACAATGAGCTCATTTTTATCAAAATATTTCTTACTTAACAAAATTTTAACATTTTAGATAGCTTTATATGAATTAAAATAACAGTAATGGCCACGTGAACGATGATACAGTAATAGAATTTAGTCAGTACTGTCATTTCTTTTTTTAGTGATAATTGTCTTTCGAGCGGAAAAAATATCTTTTTCAAAAGATAAAGAAATCATTATCATGGACAAGAGAAATAGGAGGATTCGAACGAAAATCAACCGAACCGAACTGTCTATCAATATCTTTGTTGATACTGTATCTAAAAGCTATCGAGAACTCTAATTAAAAACTTAGGTATATTACGGAAGACAGTCAACTTTCTGTTACTTTTATATGCCGCGGTAAAATATTTATAACTTACCAACTGTATTAAATAAATACTATTCTATACTTTTATGATGAATTTTATTTTCGAATAAATTTTACGCATTTATTTAAAAAATCAATTCATACTACATTATTTCTTATTCGGAGCATGATTTTATTTTCATCTGAATCTTCATGAAAAACAGCAAAAGCTAATATTTGTCCTTTAATACTATTTATATTTTGATGATGTTGTCATGCGATAAGATAAGACTTTTAAGTAACTAATAAACTTGCGCGTACCTGTATAAAAAGTAAGTAAAACGAAACCATTGATTACACGTGAATTATAGAGGAGCAGTTTAGTTTCATTCGATTACAAAAGGAACTAAGGAAAAAAGAATGGCAAATGCGTTCGCCTGTCAAAATGTACAAATTCAAGAGACGATCGGCCATTGTAAAGTTCATTCAAGAATAGATTTACGAAAGCAACCAATAACAGATTCAGATGCAGAGATCATTATTAAAGAAGCGATCATCAAAAAACAATGTTCTATGCTGTGGTTAGTGAGTAATCATATAACATCACAAGGTATTTCAAATTTGGCTGCAGCTTTACGCAATTGTACTGCACTAGAAGGACTATCTCTTTGTGATAATGCTGTTAATGATGCTGATGTATTTCATATAACAAGTGCATTATCCGATCACAATACGAAACTGAGAAGACTTGCGCTTACCTCAAATAATATCACAGATGAAGGTGTGCAACATCTTGCAGAACTACTCAAAGTGAATTGTTCATTAACTGAACTGTGGTTAGGCTCCAATAAAATTACTGATCGTGGAGTACAAATGTTGACTGATACACTTGTTCATTATAACAAAACTCTCTGTGTGCTTTCTCTCTCATGGAATAAGCTGGTGACTGATGCTAGTGTGGATTTTTTTATTGATCTGTTTGAAAATAATCAAACACTAAGAACATTTGTCTAACCAATTGTAATTTATCCGAGACCAGTAAATTAAAGCTACGAGAGGCAACAAAATTGCGAACAGAATTTTACCTCGATCTTTAATCTTACCAATTTTTTTATTGTTTTTCTATTAACACAGGGAAGAAAATCATTTTAATGATTTTAAGATAAGGATTTTTATTAATCTAAAAATAAAAATTCTATGCCAAATAATTATTCTCTATCAGCAAATCTTTTTAAATAGCAGCAGTTCACTAATCATTTTGACACTTCTAAAAAACACTTAAAAATCACCATGTATTTTATTCTTTCTCTCTCTCTGTAGATGTACATACTATATTGAATAATATAATCGGTATTTCACAGTTGTTCTAAAATTTTCGAAACAAATAGTAAATAACAACTTGATTAATAATCAAGCTGTAGCACACAAGCTTACAAATCGACTCTGATACTAAAACTTTCTTTGACAACATTACTACTAGCAAAGAATGACGAATATTTAAAACAAGTGAAAATCAAGAGAACACCACCAGGACCTAAGAAATCATCAGTTAAAGTGTCAATAGATCAACATAAAAAAATACATTTCATAAAAGTCACTGAATGGTGCTACATGCACATAAAGAAAATTTTACAATGGCAACTTTCGATATTTTAAGGAAAATGCACATTTTACATCACCAATCACAGACTTTGATACCAGCTTAGAAGGACTAATAGAATGCAAATGAAATGTTGCAACAACCTTACCAAAAATCTACATCCAACTAAATGTTCGGCGATGAAAATTATAAGAGCAGCATGTCGAATAAAAGTAATATTGATAGTGAACAATCAACATCATCATCATCATCAACTGCACTACTGAGACCTCCAATAAATGAATTGAATATTTTCTTGAGCAATTCATTCGTTTCGCCATCAATACTTGGTAATGAAACATAGGCATAACAAATTGAGCCAGTAATCATTAAACGAAAGAAAAAGCTAACATCGCAGAATATGGCAAAACTAAGAAATCAAAAATTTGTTAAAAATTAACTCCATCTAGAGATATGTCTTGTAATTTTAGTTACTTTCAAAACTTTGATTGACTCCTGCGGAAAACTTTTGGGCTATTGGATTGTTTTTTCTAATTTGTAGCCTCTACTTTTAAGCTATGATTTCTCTATTAACATCTCTTCTCGAGTTTCTCTCTAGTATAGTAATCTGAATTTTTTTATATTTAAATTCCAAATATTTGTATAAGTGGTCAAATTTTATTTCGATTTAATATTTTTTATCTCGTGCTCAATCGTTGTTCGTATGCAACAGTAGGGATCCATTGGTTTTCGCACTATTGCTTTTCTCTTTCTGTATAATCTGGATTTCATGATATACTCATGTTCATTGATATTTAGTGATGAAAACAAGTGACATAAAGTGAATGAAAATGATATTTACAACATTTTGACAACTTCTTCGCTTATTGCGGCAGGCTCTGTTTTTTACATTAATATAAAGAGCAAAAACATCATAATCAACACCCACTACTGAATAAATGGGAAGATACAGTACTTATAAACATTTTCCAGGTATTTTTATATTCCTGAAATACTTGTAAATACTTGTAACTAACAGAAATATAATTGCTTTGCCTCCCTAGGGTCCATAGGATATAAATTGAATTTAGGTACTTGATTGATGAGATGAATTTCTCTGCATTTGTACAAGATCTTGTCTTTAAAATTTACGAGGAGCTTCAATAGTACTTTGCGAAAAGAATTTCCGCCAACCAGCGTATAAATATAGAATGGCACCGCATTCGCTAAGAAATGAAGTAGTTGTGCAATGTTATAGAGCAAAGAGCCAATAGCAACTTGTAATTCAGACAATTGCATATCAGCCATTACTGATGAGTACACCTTATCCATCCCTAATGGGATAGATAATATACAAAGAATAATAATCTGTACGAGAAGCATAGTTGCTAAGTTATGATCTTTTCTTTTCAACCGGTTTGTTGGATTGAAATTCACTATCACTCCCACTGGTGGTACTCTTGATACATCGGTAGGAATTGTTCGATTTCGCGATTGACGGACATTCTGAATAGTCAACAAACCAAATACAAGCATGGGAATCAGGGGAAGAATAGGCAGAAACGTAAATAACAGATCTGTAACATATCGACATGCTACTGTTGCATCATAGCATTTCTGTGGAGAATCTTTTTGAAATGGCTCCTGACAATAGATAACATGCGAAAACAAAACTAATAACTATAGCTCGTCGGGCATTTTTGATAGAGCTCATTTGTCGACGTTGTATTTTGACACTTGATAAAAGCCATCGATCAATTGTAGCAAAAAGAACGTACATAAATCGCTACTGGTGTTGCAGTATTGACAGAGATGCCACGAAGTTTGCAAAAAAATTATTTTTAGCTGTTAGATCAGCTTCCCACCTGCCAATATACGAGAAGTGAGACCTGAAATGATAACGAATAAACTCACGACGGATGCGAATAGAAAGAGTTGAGCACATGGACTTGAACGAAACGATGATTGAGATAAAACTAATATGTTGAAAGCATTTCCAATAGTTCCGAAAAGGAAAATGAAAATTGAACCATAGCGAATGATTTGAAATGTAGTATCATCTAGTGTAGCAACTAAAGTCGCATCAGATCGTGACGACATTGTAGTGTTTGAGTAATTCATGCTTAGTTTAATCTGAAAAGTACGGATAGAAAAAATATAATTTCTAGTGTTCAAATGCAGCATTAGATGAATTAGACGAAACGATTATTCATTAATATAATTTACTTTTGAAGGATAAATTTCGTCAAACAGATTTGCAACAGTTCTGAGCTTTTATAGCATATTTATGAATAGCAACAGACTGATCTCTTTTTGACAGTATCTGTGAACCATTTATGATGGCTGCTTTAGTTACCACGTATGTTCCATTGGTAGTGCTCATAGATACATATATGTCAAACGGAAAACTTGAATTCAATTGAAAATTGAAAATTTCAATTTTCAACTTTTAAACCAATTGCATTCTGAAGAATCGTGACCCACACATATGATCGCTGTTAGCTTGAAAGTTGAAAGTTGAAAATTTTAATTTCAATTGAATTCAAGTTTCAAGTTTGACACTACTGCGCTTTCAATACTGTCGAAAGCTATCATGCAACTATAGATACGATACCTGATCGGAATTTCGGACAGAATATTGTTTACATTTCGGTTACAGCAATTCTGATGATGATAAAGTCATAAAATTATGTCATTAGTTCTTCTTCGGAACCGTGACTGTTATATGGAACTTTGAGTGCTCTTGGTACATCAAATATAAATGATACCGTGTTCTATCAATAGGTGAGCGAATCCAAATCGTCACAAAAGTCAATCGGAAATTAATAGCCTGGCGCATGCACATGATTATCTGTTAGCGATATAATAGCATCCAAAGGCCACAACAAATGTTTTCCTTCAAATATGAAGAAAAAAATGCACACTCGAAAAGCAAACTCATCACAATGATGAAATTGACTCAACCATATTCAATTAATTCGATTAGAACTTTCTTAATACATCGGAGAAATCACTGCATCGAGCTATTAGCGAATTCTACGCCAAACCGTAGCCCGTACTCATTTATTCAAACCACCATCATCCATAGCATAAGGATCGAGCCGCCATGTAACACTGAGAGCACCCTGAAGTTAAAATTGAACAGATAGTCCGTCCATTGCTAACTACATGCCTTGAGTACTCTACATTTTGTCAAACAATTTATATGAAATTTTTCCGATATGCGCGCAGTACAAATAAATTAGAGCAAACATCTACAGAAGGTATACCCAAGATTGTCAAAATTTTCACCAACTCAAATCCGAACCCTTCGTTTATAGCGCTAACAAAATGTTGTTTCCCATCTGATTCAATACCATTCCATCTTAGATTCACTGAGCTGAGTGTCTAGATGCAAAAATATAAGCGTAAACTAGGTGCAGTAAAACATGGTGTCTACCGTGTTGTTGCTAAGAGCAGTGGCGAGTTGCTGTGTCCGTTTTTCTCCGACAACATTCAAAGACAGGTCTAGTATAAGAGTAAACGAACATTCCTTTATCAGGGTACAGAGCAAGAGAAAACCTTACCCTGCACATCTCTATTTAGAATTGCTCTGCTAATTAGAAACTAGATCAATTAGATCACCATTTCTTCTTTTTCTCATTACAGACATAAGCAACCAAGTAGGACTACTATTACAGACCTTAGCAACTAGCCTCTACCGCCGGTAGAGAAACCAAAAATCAAGTAACTCCCCTTGCAGACATATGATATTATAATCATAGATTTTTTACTTGAGCTATTTTTTATTATCTTAGTAAATATATACAATATATATGTATATATATATATGAGTTCCACACTTTAGCCACTAAGGACCTATACTAACAAACGTTTTTTGAAAACAATTTTCTTCTTTTGTAGCTATGGATTTGGTTTTCTTGGAAATATTTCATCATTAATAGTCTTAATTTTTGACAGAAAATTTCGAAATAATTCAACTGGTATTTTATTTCTTTTAATGACTGTATCTAATAATAGTCATCTATGAACATTAACAACAGAATTTCTAAGTACTTTTTCAGTTAATATTTATCCAAATGAATTTATAGAATGTCGATTAAATTGTTTTGTACAAAATGTAAGCCGAACAGTGAGCACGTATTTAGTCATTAGTGTTACATTTGATCGTTTTATTCGATTTGAATTACTTGTCCGTTCAAAAATATTGGTTTTGCCCATCGAATAGCTACAGTCCTCTCACAGGTATTTGCTATACTGGCTCATATCCTTATACTTATTTTATCAATAATATTTACTTTCCAATTCGATTCATTTTTGTGTGCGCTGTACCAGTTCTGGTTTTTATATTGGTTAATAGTCGTATTATCTACAATATACAATGCTCACGAAGACGTGTTGCACCCGGTAATACAAGGATGTCTCAATTAGTGATACAATCAAATGCCATTTCATATTTATACAGTTACGCAAGTTTTTCCTAGATTAGTGGATTATGGTACGTATTTATTAACTCGAGCAATTTTATTAATATGGTCAAGTATTTAGTTTTTGGCATTGCATTTTATTTGTATCGCTTAACGTCACCATTCTTTCGCCAACGATTTACTGAAGTTATCAAGAGAATTTTTCATTGCTAAACAATGCATAGATCAAACATAGATATGGAAAATACAGGCGATTAAAAATATGAAATTATATTTAAGACTAAATTTGCTTTTATATCTATTCTATGTTGCACTCTAGAGTACATAATAATAATTAAAATATGAACTATTCTTTTTTCTTATTGTTTCAATGCAATAGATACTAAAGACATTCGTTTCTAATTAGTTTATTGGAGCATAATAGAATGCATGGAGAATCATATCGATTGATCTCATAATGTCCAAATTGAGACTTAATCGATAACTAAGATCCCGTATGTTTCTTCTTTTTGAAAGTCTCCAATAGCTTTTTTCTCTCTGTCTATTGCATGCGACTCAATCATTTTTCGATGGTAAAATAGTTGTCAGAAAAAAATATTTTTCTCATCCACTGAAAATATTACTTATTTATCTTCATAATATAGGTTCATCTATACTGTTAGGCAGCGATTGTCAATAGTTTACCAGTTTTTGAAAATTCGAATATTTTTTTATACCAGCAAATATTTATTTTTATGACGTCTAAAACCTATAGCTTGTGCATGTTAATTACCTATTTATGACTATGGCATCAAGAGAAATATAAGAATTCTTTTCTTATTTCATTTGTAAGAAGTTTAAATCAAGCCGTAAGTATTTTGTATTAGTGCGACAGTTATGATGGATGTTTTGGTTAAGAAATGAGTGTATGCTTAAATTTTCTCTTTTATAGGAAAGAGTTCTTGAAAAGTCAGACTTTCTCCCTCTTATCAAAAAAATACTCGGCATTCACTGAAAAATATTGACACCTGCTAAAATTTCTATAATATTTGTAGTGTCGATAAATCTTCTATTTTATTCACGGTTGATTGTTGTTATTTATATTGTTTCTGTAATAAATATGATGATGACAAACATACGAGCGTGATATGATCTGATTCGATAGTTTCAAAGTGTTAATCACGTAAAAGAGGCACTGCTATAGGTATTGCAGTAATAATAACTGATGTTCACACTGGCGAGTGATCAGATCGAGTGTGATTTCATAATAGCTATTGTAATGATATCTTTAAATGAATTCCAGTTTTTTTTATAAAACATGCCATAAAAACGTTTTGTTGAATACAATCCTTAGAGTTTAGTTCAGTATTTTTGTTCGATATAAAAGTTAATTTTTAACATATTGAATTCCGACCTGTGTTGATTTTGCAGCTATATGTTTGACTGTTAGAAAGAATCAGTTGCTATAATCACATATTCGACGCATTCGCTATCACAGTTCGGAAGTTTAATTTTGCTCTAAAAGAATAAAGAATCGTTCAACATACCATGAACTTAGAAATCTGATGTAATAATGACATTTTGATGTGTATTGAATATCGATCGCCCGATAAAAAAATCCTACGGCACTAGGAGGAGATGGCTATCATACTGAAATTCATTATATTTTTAATGACCCATCAAAAATAGATTATAGATCTAACTCTGATTCGATGTATATAAATTGACCAAAATGTCTTTTAATATAAGTACGACTTTTAGTTTACATAAGGATAGAATATCAGTCGAAATTAGAAAATAAAATAAGTATCATTATTGATATTTGAGGTTTCTCTAATATCACAAAAAAAAACACTACTCCAATTTTTAGATGTCAGAGAATAAATAGATTTGCCTAACAATAATAAATAGTTATGGGAAATAAAGTAGGATTGATTGAACGTGATACTATAGGATAACAGCTGATTGGAAAAATTCAAAATTTCTAAAGTTAATAGATCCTTAGGAGTAGAAAATGTACAAATAGTTTCCTCTAGGAAAATACAAGTATTAGTAAGACTGAAAATCGGAACACATTTTCTCAGCTACAATTAATCCGATAGAACTGAAAATATCCTTTTACATATACTAAACACGATTGGATGTTTCAATATTCTCTTTTTTTTTCTTTTCTAATAAAAAGATTAAAAATGAAGGCTTTCTTGTAAATCGAGTGTTTTTTTTGCAAAGCCTAACGAAATAAAAGCAGCTGCGCATCATAATTTGAAATAAGAAACGTGAAGATTCTATATATTTTCTACTCATTAAGAGTAGAATAACGCTTCGGTTTCATTGTATGCATCGTAGCTGTGAAACCGGGTGTACTTGCTGCTTTTATTTTTGCAACACAAAACATTTTTCTTTTTTAATTTTAGAGAAGTACTGTGTCCACTAGACATTTTTTCAGGGAACGTATCTCATTCTTCTCAACTTTTGGAAATTGCAGTCGTAGGATAGATGTTAAAATTTAATCAGTGGAAAATAAGTGCATAAGAAAAAAAATTGAAAATTTTTGATCGGAGAAATCACTTGAAACGTATAGAATATATATTTTCTAACAAGTTTTGTTTTCTCCTTTAAAACAATATACAGCTGCTTACGCATCGGTATAAATTAAACTGTATTACGAATAGGAGTCCGATTGAAAATATGTAAATTAAATTCTAATTATTAGAGGTCTTCACGTCAAACTACGAAGATGAAAACAATGTTATTGTTCGCTTTTCAAAAGTTGAAGCCAGATATCTTCATTCGAGATTCCTTTAAAAGAATATTTTTCAAATTGCCCGGTTTTGACAAAAGATGTTTTTCTCGAGTAAGTCTATGAGGATTTAGCTGAAGATAAGAGATCAAATTAAGATCTCAAATTCTATTTTCAGTTTCTCTACCACTTCAAGTGTAACATAGTTAGAATCAATTTCTAGAATTTAATTAAGGCACGTGAAGCTAGAATCTGATTATTTGAAAAAATTGCGTAGACCCACAGTGACTACTTTTAAGTAGACATAGGTGACAAAATGCTAAAACCGATTGATAAGAAAAACACAAACTGAATTTCAATGCTGTAGTTCGAAACGTTTCTCCATAAGCGGATTAAAAAGCGCCCTCAAATTATTTGTCATAGACTATTAACTAGAAAAACAAATCCAATTATTCCCAGAAAACAAAAGTACACGCTCATTTATTCAATGTGAGATTTCGACACACGTCGCAGCTCTTAGTTTTTCGCAGTGAGAATTTATGAAGATATATGCAAAAATGATATCATAAAATCAATAAAGCAAATTGTGTTTGCGAGTAAATACTTAATTCCATGGTAGTAGTCATAAATTACAAATTGGATAAATTTAATTGAAATCGATTTCTGTTGTCGTAGATCTCTTAAATTCTAGTTCACTTGAGAAGAAAGAGAACAGGGCATCCATCGCATAGTCTACACTGTTTTTTTTAATATCACTCACGGCTATAAATCAGTTCATTTAAATCATTGACATTTTTTATAACAGTTAATTGTAGACTCAATATTCAGTTTTCACCATGTTTATAACTGATTTTTGCAAACATTAACATTTACTTGCTGAAGTACCTATAAGTACTAAACAGTACAGTGTTTTATTGTTAACATGTCTGCTGATAATTGTTCTCGTATCCGATAAAATCTTACTTATCAGAGCATGTAAATATTTTTATCGACGAAGAAATAAGAACTTCGGGCTGTTGAAATCAGTAATATTTCATGTGTCAACACGAAATAACCTTCACAGTGTGTATGCGAAAGAAATACGGCAGAAAATTATATTTGATGTAGAATTACAATTACATTCATCAATATTGTTTTATTCCATGATTTAAATATACAAGGATATATTCTCTTATTTGTTTTCGATTCATTCATGGCTAAATAGATCTCACTTTCGAATATAAAATCATTCTTTTGATACTTTTTTCATGTTTGTTTTTCTGCTGAATTGGTCAAAACGTCTAGCTCAAGGAGTAATCTGTAATAGATGCAATATTTTTTTCTGCTCCTTTTTCTTGAAAAAGAATCGTAATATTATTTTAAAAAAGAGAGAAAGGAAGACAAAAATACAGCACGAAGTTAAAAAAATACGTATCAGAATAAAACACAAGTTACGCACTTCTCTCATGTGTTAATCATACGAAGAAGGAAAAAAGCTTTCAAGAAATAGGGGACGAACTGTCATTATTATATACAAGTGAAAAACTTCAGCTTCCACACAAACATTTAGATAAGAAATAGTTCATATTCGTCAGATGGTCAATGTCTAATAAAATATACTTATTAAGCATTACTCTTCTGCTCGTCGTGCATTTTGCACGGAGCCAATCGGACTCTAGCACTGATACAACACCCCAATCATCAGCCTACAGTAGTATGACATCCGAATTAACTACTAACCAAACACCGGTAGCTGGCTCGTCCACGGGTGAAACTGCAGTATCTCAAGCAGTTGCTAGTGCAACATCAACATTCCAACCAAGCAGTAATACAATGGCATCAGTAACATCGGTCGAGACTAGCGTATCTATACAACCGTCGCTCGTTAATACAAATGGTGTTACAACTGTATTATCATCAGCAGCCACTAATAGTATGGCGAGTTCTACTGTAAATTCCGTAGCATCTTCAACTCAAAGTAGTCCTTATTCTGCCGCATCGAATTCAAATACTATGGGTTCATCAGAAGGCACTGACTCGACAAGCAACTATTCGATAACATCATACGCGCCAGCAACTTCTGCTAGTGTGGTCTCTACAGCATCTCCAACTCCATTAGGTATTCATGAGTCAATCTTATTTTTATACATATCAATTAAAATATTCTTGTTGTATAGTGACTAATATTACTGCGACGTATTCTTATAATATTGTGAGTAACTCTAATCTAACAATTGGATTGGTTAACAATATTAATGTCACACAGAGTGTCCAAAATATGGTATGCCATATGAATACTAGATGATTTCATACTTCAATTTTTAAAATAGGTAATTACTTCATTCAATTTGTCAAATTTCAATATCACTGTCACTGTCACACGCGTTGAAATTCAACAAAGAGCGAGGTATAATTGCAAAACTGTTTAATGGAAAAACTCATGTTGATTATTTAATAGAGCTAGTTCGCAGGTTTATCAAATGCTTGTGGACATTTTGTTTACAAGTGCTAATAACGCATGCCAATCAAGTTGTATAAGACAAAGTGTACTATTACCGACGGTTAACATCTCGTTACCAGATAGTACTGGCCAGTTGGTACCTGCAGCTCCTAATGGACTACCAACAGAAGTCCCCAGTATGATTACTCAAGTATTTTTCGATTAGAAATAAATTTATTTTACATAGGTACAGAAACATCAACAACAACAACAACAACAACAGCAACTGTCACTCCTCAAAAGGGTAAGCCTTTTAAAAGAAAATGTTATTTACGGTGTAACTTAATCGAAATCCAACTCTGCTACTCTTGCGTATGATTATTGTAGATTGGTTTTTTTTTCGGTTTTTAGTATCTAGCGAGCGCATATATATTTTAACCTATCGTATGGCATAATAATGATATATAGCAAATAAAATTGAGACAAAAAAAACACATCAGACAGAAAAAAAATATTTTCTTAACACAGTATCTCTTACAGGATATCCATCTTTTTTGTCTGGCAATTACTTTTGAAAGTATGAGCACAAATAAGTTTTAACTCTTATCTGAGCAGACGTATTTGTATGACTTTTAAGAGTTCCTCTATCACAATTCATACGTACTTTTTCAGTATATACTGAATATCAGGGGGAGGGGGGGCGGGGC